CTGGGGTGGTATGAAGGCCCCCCGGGCTCCCCGCTCCACAAGCTCTTGTTGACCGTGGAGAAGGCTGGCTCATCGCAGCGGCCTGGAAGGTCTCACCATCATCTTCATCGCCCAGAGAGCAGAGCCCCCCTCGGCTCCGGCAGCTGACAATCCCCAAAGATCCCATCCTGCTCCAGGGAGGTGCTGCGAGGAGCTTGCCGGGGTGAGCGCCTGCTGCTGGTCTGGCCCCATTCCCTCCCCATGTACATAGTTGTTTCCTTCTCCTGCCTGGCCAGGGCTGGGTCCTCCTCTTCCCTGGAAAGAGCCACGTGTGAGGGTGGCAAGGGAATTGCCTTGGCTTTTACTGGGAAACAACAGCCCCCTTGGGCTGGATGGGGCTGGCTCCTGAGTCCCCTCAACCCGCTGGGACTGTGGTTCCCTGTGAACAACCACCCGGGTTAAAAAGTTCTTCCTTTTAATGAAATCCCTTTAACAAACAAAAGAATAACCACCAAACCTGCATCCGACCGAGCCTCCAGGGTCTCGGGTGGCTGACGGGCTGCCTGGCTTCTGAGCACCCCTGGAAGTGTCAACTTCAGAAATATATATATGAAAATAAAATTACTTCAGCAATAAATGTGGAAACTCAAAAGCTGGAGTGGTTCATGGCACCAGGCAGGGGAGAGCCTGCTCTGGGAAGCAGGGCCAGCCTCTGGGAGTGGGTTTGCCTGTCCCCATGGGCTCAGGCCACTCCGGTGACGGTGGGGATGGACCAACACACAAAGCACAGCGGCAGAACAACAACTTTAATCCAAAGGGAAGGGAAAAGACCAGTAAAAACCAGAACTTGAGGTGCTTGGTCCCAACAGCTGGTGGCTGCAGGAGCGGGAGGATGGGGATGCATCCCTGTGCTCCCAGCCTTACCCCAGGAAGGTAGAGATGAAGACGCTGGTGTCCAGGTTGAGTGTGGCGTGCCACCAGCGGTCAGGGAAGTACAGGACCTGCCGGGAGGGAGCAGGGGGGCCCATGGGTGTCCCCCACAAGGGGAGCGCAGAGCTGGGGTGCTGTGGGGCTTGCTGGGACTCACTCCCCTGG